GCGCAAAAGGCTTTAACATTTGCAGTTCCAGTCCAAAAAATTAGATTTTTTTTTCGATGCTACCAATAATATATGACACTGTTTTTCTGATATTTCCTCGAAATTCTATGATTGTTATAGACTTCAGACCATGTAAATTTTATATCTTAACTTTCTAAATACTTGTTTTAATTATATTTTTATGAAAAGAAAGTAAGAGAGTCAACCTTAATTTCAAAATAAGTTATAAAATGATAGAACAACACATTCATTTTCACGGCTATTAAAATTTTCCAAAAGTCACGAATGATTTTTCTATAAAGAAATGTACTAATCATTTTAAAATATATAAAATCAATGATTAGAACATTATAATAATCAAAGATCTGCATGACATAAAATCTATAATAACGATAGAAACTCAAGTAATTATCATAAAAAGACGATGCACATTGTTCATAGCATTGTAAAAATCTTAATTTTTAAATTGTAACTAAAAGTATTACATTTTCTATACTGTCAATGAAAGTAGTTTTGACGACATTTATCGTCAATTATTAAATATTATGTTGGATAGTCCAAGTGATACTGAATTTTTACTTTCTTAACTATTGGAGAGATCTTCATAGGTAACTTAAGCTATGAAATGCTTAAATAAACATTTTATAGGTTAACCTTAAATATATCGTTAAAATTCAAAGGACACCAATTTTAATGAGAGTATCATAATGAAGAAATTCTATGTATGTGAAGCAACATAAAAAAAAACGAATAGAAATTCTTAAGAATCAATTCAATTTTTAAATTTATAAAATAATAATATAAAACATTCATAAAATAAGTATGATTATTTAACATGATAAATCGAATGGTACTCGCTAAAATTCATTCTTTTATCTTTTTCAGATTGATAAAACAATGTGCAAATGAACTAACAATAGTTATCAATAACCAAAAAAAATAGAAAGAAACAAATGTCTAATAAACAATTAATTGAAATAGAACTGACAAAATAAAAAAAGATTTTCATTGAATCTTTTTTATTTTTTTTATCAACAATTTTGAAATATAAACTATTTACAAACTAAAAACAAAAATATTCTTTATTAAATATTTTAAAAAACTTACTTATTGTAATTTTTGGTTTAATATCTGCACAATCATTATATAAATATAAATTTGATCCTTTTAAACATGTCCAATAACGTTTCCATTGACGTTTTGATGCTAATTCAACTTTATGATGACGTTGTACAGTTAACCAATGTTTAACATGAAGCCAACTATTAAAAAAAAAGAAAAGAAATACATAAGCTACTTTAAAATGAAAATAAACTTAACAAATAAAATATATTTACTTAGCTTTTTGTAATCGAAAATTTTCAAAAGTATCTTCAGACAATTGACTATTAAGATTTATTTGTGGAATTGGTGTAGCATCATCATCACCATCATCATCATCAGAATCGGAATCTAAAATCAATAAATTATAACTTGTTCAAAGTTATGACCTTGGCATAAAATGAAAGAGATTATAGACATCATTGTTATTTCTATGAAAAGCTATTTAAAAGTTTCCTTCTCTAATAATACTTTTATGTATCTCCATTTAATGACATGTAAATACCTTGTTGTTTGTCTAGTTGTTGTTGTTGTTGTTGTGGTTGAGAATAATGGAATGAATCACTATAATTGCTAAGTCTCCAACTTGAACCACTATCACGTCCAATGCCACTATCTGTACGTTCAGATTCATTAAAACTTGTTCGATTTATATCATAATTATTATCAATTATTGTTTGATGATGAATATTTTTTATTGTCATTTGATCAGATATGATTACATCATTATCATCATTATCAATAGTACGATTGTCTATAGATTCAATCGATGAAGTATTTTGAATAGATAACGATGATGGAAGTGATATTGTTGCTTGTTGTCGTTTAAGTTTACTAATATTTCGTCTTATAACAACAATTTGTTCTTCATCTTGTTTTTCATTATCAGAAAAAATTAAATCAGCAGTTGGTAAATGACATTTTTCATCATCTGTATTACTTTCATTACTGCTACTGCTATTCATAAACATACCACCGGACATCACCGTTTTGGTTACTTTCGACGATTTCTTCATTCATCCGTTCATGATATATCTGGAAAAAAAAAGAAAAAGACGAGGAAGAAGAAAAAAGAAGAAGAAGAAGAAGAACAATAGCTACAACAAGGTGACCGCGATTGCTATTGCTTCTCTCCATTCAATGGAAGAAGGTAGACGGAAGGAAGACGAGGAAAGAGAAAGAGAGAGACAGAGAGAAGAAGAAGAACGTCCGTGCGCGTCTGTCGTTCCTTTGTTGTATTCGACATCTAATATGCTTTGATTTCAGGTTTATTTGCATCTGTTCTCACACATATCAAATAGACGGTGGCATTGTAGATGCAACTATATATAGTAGTGACTTGCTATTCTGATTATGATTATGATTATTTTTATTTTTATTAGTTGTTGTTGATCGTGGTTGGCATTTGTTGTATAGAAATCTATATTTGTGTCTCTCTGTCTCTGATTTCATAATAGTATTACGAAGAAAAAGTGAGGAAGTCGATGGGTGGTAACATGATAATAATGTTCAGTTATATTCGTCTTTATTTTTATTTTTCTTTTGTTGCCTAGTGGATGACAAGTGAAAAGAATAAACAAGAAGAAGAAGAAGAAGAAGAAGAAAACACTATACCTTCATTTTTTCTTCGCTTTCCTGTCTAAATCTCTATTTGACAATAACGAAAAAGTGATAGTGAAAATGATCGAAGGGCAATACATATACATACATACATACATAAAATAGATGCCCTTGCATAACACTCGGTTAGAAATGTCAATATGATGACCCGATCGTGATCATTTACTTTTCGCTTGACATCGTCAAGTGGCTATTACTTACTCCTCTCTTCGTTTTGCTCTTTTTTTTTTCACCATCATCATCATCATCATGGATGTGTTATGTTGATATTGAAATCCATCTGCTTTTATATTACAGATTACGGCCTTGTTTCTTCAACAGGAAAGTGCAAGAAATAATAACGAAACTAATCATACTAGGAATACTCAAAAGGTTGTCAGTAATTTGATTTTCAGTAATTAACAAAACTTTCTATGTTTGAAATATTTCATTGAAATAAACTAGTTAATTACTAAAATGTTACTAAAAGTCATAAAAAAAAAACACAATAGTAATGATAATATAACAGAAGAAAAGCAAAAAACTGTGTTAATTGATCGATGTCATATACGCACGCCATGTGTTAGTCTAAATGTTCGTTAATCTTTGTCAACGAGAGTCGCCGGTCGATGTTGAGAAGACCATATTTGTCACATCAAATTGAATAGAAAAGATCGGAAGATGAAGGCAGAAAAAAAACGACGGAGAACATAAAGAGAAAAACGATTGTAACATGGCACAATGCCAATAACTAAAGAAATGAAAAGATTCACCCGGTAACAAACATATCAGTTGTCATACTTATTCTATAAGTTATATACAAATATGTTATTACATATTCTATAAGTATTTGTGACTTTGATTTTATACATAAAAAAAAGGACCTACCACAATATTTATTGCTTCCGGACGAAAAAAAAAACTAACATTTTTTGAGAACGATGTTGTCGAGATCGTTCGTTGATCGCATTGCTACGACATCGATAATGGCAAAAAAAAATGTAACAATGCCTTAGAAACGTTGAGCAAGCCCATGTCAAAACTAATTTGTTCGTTCGATTGATTCAATTATGGAAGCCCTGAAACGATCGGCCGTTTTGTTAACAGAATGAATAAAAAAAGGTTCTTTTTCCAATGTCTAAAATTGATTCATTGTTATAAAGATCGAGCTTTTCTTTGCTGATATCTATTCACGTATTAAAATGCGTATGATGTCCTTGATACATTACATACACACATTAAGCACGTAGTACGTGCATACGAGTGCAATAATGGATATCCATTGAATCTAGATGATGGAAATGTCTTGCTTATGGAATCGAATGAACATTAACAACAACAATAACAACAACAGAAGAAATAGTAGAAAAGAACACCCGGCGAGAAAGTTACTGCGTTTTACTGTTGCTGCTGTTACTCTCGTTAATGCTCACAAGGATTCACATTAATTTGTCACTCGAAATAATCACATTGTTGAGAGCTTACATGTGCTCTTGTCTGTGTGCTAAATGTGCACGAGTGAATTAACGTAGACATCTTTCTTTCTTTCTTTTTTTTTTCCTATCCAATCAAAGTACATTGTCTTTGATGATCAAAGAATTAATCCCCAAGTCAATAGATATACTAGCGAAAAAAAAAAAGTGTAAGGACACTAGGACCAACAATTATCAATGACGTAATGATTTTGTTTTGTTTTTTTTGTCTTATATTCTTAACTTTTTTTTCTTTTTTAAGTTAGAATATTTTCTTTTGTTTTACTGCGTTACATTCGCGTGAAACAAAAAAAAACAAATAGACTTCCATAAACACAAAGAAAAACAAAAAAAAAAGGAAAACCTGGTGAGCATACAAGATAAACGTCGTTCATCTATTTAAATCACACACACAAACAAACAAACATTGAATATACAACAAAAAAACCCAGAACAAAAACTGATTCTTCTTCCCATCTTTTGTTTTTTTTTTATTCCCACAACTCGCATAATTCTATCAGCATATATATATATATATATGTGTGTGTGTCTATACGAGAAGGCAGAAATTGAGTATAGATATAAGAAGAATCAAAAAAAAAAAGAGGAAAAAAACCAACATAAGCCAGAAGAAGAAGAAGATTATGAGAAACTATACAAAATAAAGAAGCATCACATCGAATACTGACTACAATAGTACACAAGAACACTGTGTGTATGTATGTAGATAAGAAAAAAAAAAGATTTGAGATGGAGACTGAACAGAAAAAGAAAGAAAGAAAAAAAAACAATTGAAATAACAAAACAAGAAAAAAAAATGATACAGAACTATTGAACTGTACTCGTTATGACAATTAACAAATAAATTTGTTCAATTTTATTTTGAACAACACAACGATAAGTATCCGGTGCACGTTTTTGTAAGATTTCAGATGCAAATTGACATGGTGGAAATATATGTACAACATAAGCTGGTTGTGATGCACCGGGCAATAAAACATTGACAATTCCGGCTGCTTTTTTTTCATCAAAATATCGTATAACACCATTTTTTAAATTATTTTGTTGTATACGTATTTCATCTGGTGTTGAACCATTTGGTTCAGCTATTAATATACAATGATCATTATCCATTTGCATACGTTTTTGTACACCTTCAAGTTGTGCTTGTTCTAAACGCATACGTTGTGATATACGTAAATTATGATGTGAAGGTGTTTGTAAATTTGATGTTGATGTTGTTAATGAATCTGAATTCCAATAATTCATTGATGCACGTGCTATTTGTGGACTACCAGCAACAAGTTGAGTTTTAACATATGCTTGATCATTTTTTAATATTAAATTTCCTTGCCATTGAACATTATATGGATCACGTGATAATTCATTTGTTGGTGGATTTAAACGAAAATATGATTCTGGATTTGGATATAATTCAGCAGCAGCAAATGGATGATGACTACTAGTCATACCAATAACATTGAGCATTTGTTGAGCTGCAGCATATGCCATATTTTGTGATGAATAAAGACTTGTTGATGCACCATAAAGTTCAGATGCTTCAGCATAAACATTACGAAATGGTACAACAGAATCTGAAATATTTTTACACACATATATATATATATTAAAATGAAAATTCAAAAAAAAAAAACAAACCTGGTCCAAGAAATTGTTGTAATGGTGATGTTTGTTGTCGCAAAGCAGCAGCATCAAGTGAATTTAATAAAGGTGATTGCTGTTGTTGTTGATTAACAATAGTATTTGTTGTTACATTTGATGATGATGATGATGATGATGATGATGTTGATGATGATGGAATAGATAATGCAATCGGTACTGGTACTGTTTGTTGAATAGATGTTGGACGATTTGATGATGATAATGTACCTGAAGTTTTTGTAGTTATAGAATCTCTACAAAATAAAATAATTAAGAAAAATAATAGTTATTAATTAAAGAAGAATAAAATTTTACCGTTTTGATACTTTTTCATGTGTATGTGGGTTTGAATTTGTTGATGATGAATTTTGTTGTCCAGTCATAATTGTATTAATATATGGATTATTAGTAATATGACTACTTGGACTACTACTACTTGTTGATGATGTTCGTGTAGATAATGGTGGAGAATTTGAAACAAGTGATGAAGCAAGTAAATTTGATGATGAATTTCCTGTTGGATTTGATGATAATGGTGCAAATAATGAAAATGGAAAATTTTGATGATGAGCAGCAGCTGCTGCTGCAGCAAATATACTACCATCTGGTGTAAGCATATGTGGAAATTGATGCAGTATTGGTGATGGTACTGTTGGTGTTGGTTCAGTTTTAGGTGTTAATGAACGTTTATGACTTGATGTTTTTGATACTGTTGGTCGAATAATAACAGGTACAACAGGAGTTGTCGATGAACTTGTTGTTGTTGTTGTTGAATTATTTGCTGCTACTGTTGTTGTTGTTGTTGTTGTTTTTAATGGTGATGTCGAATGACAATGTGAATCAAATAAATTTGATGTTTCACTTGTTGCTGGTGTTGTTGTTGATGTTAAACAAGGTGTTTTCATAACATCACGTAATATATTTGGTATTGATGTTGATTTATTAGTACTAGTAGATGTTGATGATGATAAGGAATTTGTATCAACAATAGATGTTGTTGGTTCTGTTATGATACTAGTTGTTGTTGATAAACTTTTAGCAACATCATCAATAACTTCTTCAATATGTGTTCGTGTTGTTGTTGTTGTTGTTGGTACTGATGGTGGTTGTTTTTCTCCAGTAACATTTGATGATGAAACAATATTTGATACCATTGTTATTAAATCACTTTTTTGTGTTGGAATAGTTGAAATACTTGTTGTTGATGTTATTAATTGTCGTGTTTGTTGATCGGTTGGACTTGGTAATGATGCTACATATGAATAAACTGGTGTACTTATTGTTGGTGTTACACGTGCAGCACCTTTTATTGCTGGATGATCGCCGGATATATTTGAAGGATTATTATTAAGCATAAGAAGACTATTTACTGCACTTAATGTTTCTTCAACATTTTCATCTATGGAGAAAAAGAAAGACTTTGAATTATTTCGACAACAAAAAAAAAGAATAACATACTAAATGTTGATGTTAATGATGATTTAATTGGAACATGTGAAGATAATTTCGGAGTTGTTGTTATAGATGTTGGTTGATGTTCAACAATAGGTAATGTTTCTTTTGATATTGGTGCTATAATTGGTGATGATTTTTCTAGATTAGATGTTTTAGTTAATGATTGTTGAGGTATTTGAATAGATGAACATAATGCTTTAATAGCTATTTCAGTTTCAGTACTTGTTGTTGTTGTTGTTGTTGGTGGTGGTGGTGGTGTTGGTGTTGTTGTTGTTGTTGTTGTTGTTGGTGTTGGTGTTGGTGTTGGTGTTGGTGTTGTTGTTGTTGGTGGTGGTGGTGGTGGTGGTGGTGGTGGTGGTGGTGGTGGTGGTGATTGAGTTGATGTTATTATTGAAGATGATAATGGAATTTGTTCAGTTTCCATCGGTGTTATTTGTGGTTGATCAATAGTTGTTGTTGTTGTTGTTATTGTTGATGGTGGTGGTGGAGGAGGAATATCTTGTTTATTATTTTCAGATGATATTGTTGATTCAATAGTATCTTCTTTCGTTTGTATATTTGTTGTTGCTGTTGTTGTTTGTGAAAGATTTTCATTAGATTCAATTTTATTTTGTAACTGTACTGTTGAATCATCTGTACTTTTACGTAAACGTTTATCATTAATTGGAGATGATATAGATGAAGATTCTGTTGTTGATAAATGTTTTATATTTGTTGATATCGATACTGGTTGTTCTATAGATGATAATTGATTAGAATCTATTGATTCTGATTCTTTTTCATTTGATATTATAGATTGTATAATTTTAGAATTTGTTTTTGTTTGTTGACGTTTATTCGATGATGATGTATCTTGTTTTGATGTTCGTTTACTTTTACCTGTTGTTTTTGTTGTTGAACGAGATTGCATTGGTTTTATTCCTTCACGTATACGTGTACTAATTAAATCACTAAGTTGCATTGTTTCAGGATTAAGTGTTTCATCATCACTTAATGGTGGTTGTGTTGTTGTTATTGTTGGTGGTGGTTTTAATGTATTTGTATTTGATATTATTGGTTCATCTTTTATAGTTATATCATTATTATGTATAGATATTGATTCATTATCATTCTCCATATTTTCATCATCATTTTTTGATGTTTCAGTTGATTGTGTTTGAATAGATGATGATGATGGTGTTGTTGTTGAATGACGATGATGACTAGTAAATACAATACCAAATTTAGTTGGTGTTGTTGTTGTTGTTGTTTGAGATTGTAGTTCTGTTGATGATTCATCAATTTTTGGTTCATTTGTTGATGTTTCATCGGATAATGATGTAGGAATAATTGAAGATTTATTTGTTTGAGATATTTCTAATTCATTTGAAATTATGATTGATGGTGGTTGTTCTTCAATTGAAATTATTTTAGATTTTTCATCATCAAGTTTAAGTTTTTTAGTTGATTCATTTGATTCATCAGTTGATGGACGTTTTGATGTTGATATTGTTGTTTTCGATATTTTTGATGTTGATTTTATTGAATTTGCTGTTAATTTCTTTTTATCTATTGTCTTTGTTGTAGATAATTTCTTTTTTGTTGTTGTTATTGATTGTTCATCATTATTAATTTTAGATAATTTTTCTTTTTTTATGTGTTCACTATTTGTTTTTAATAAAGGTTTTTTTATTTGTTGTGTTTGTTGTTGTTGTTGTTGTTGTTGTTGTTGTTGTTGTTGATTTATTTTCTTTTTATGAATTATTGGTTTAGTTGGTTCATCACTTTCTTCAGCATCGAATACATTATTATCGAATGCAGTTGATATTTTAGTTTTAGCTTTTGAAGATCTATCAATTTCAGAATCGGATGAATCACTCATCATAACATTCTACAAAAATAAAGAATTTAAAAATAAAAAAAATAAAAATGAATATCTTATATTACATGTCGTTTTGGTGTAATATTGACTGGTCGAGTAGGCATTTGATCGTCGTCATCATCATTATCATCATCACTACTATCATCATCACTGTTTTCATCAGATAAATGACCTTCACTTGTTGATAATGAACTATGAAAAAATCAATATAAACAATTCGTTATGTTTTTCAAAGAATTTCTAAAGTTTAAATTTTTTTGAATTAAAAGATTTATTTCGATTCAGAAAACCAATCGTTCTAAATCGTGACTAGATGCCATAGCTGGGAATCATTAGAAAAGAAATTATCAAGATCGGAACCAAAAATAACTTTGGTCTATGCTTTCAAAAATAAGTCTTCGCCATCACGAAATTTTAAATTCTCATTTCGGAAAAGAAAATCTCGATAAAACATAGACTCTGAACTCAATATAATTCTATAAAATAAAGAAATTCATTAAATTGACAATAATATTTATCTCATGTAAGCATAAACTAAAGCTAACAATAAACTTTTCTTTCCGTCTATTGATATAAACACACATCTTTCATTTGTATTTCATTAAATAAAAACATCAAGCCATACCTATGTCGTGTTTGTTCACTTCTTGCTCGTTTTTTAATTCTATCATACATACTAGTATCTTGTTTTAATAATTCTCTCCAATTATTATGATTTTGTGTTGATTTTAATTTATTTTTATTTGTTATTTTCGTTCGTTTATTAATTATTATTTCTTTTTTAATTTTTTCATCATTATCTGTTGATGTTTGTTCATGATCAGAATTTATAATTGTTTGTTCAAGTTTTTTTTCATCATTATCTGATGCTGATGAATGTATTTCTGTAATTGTTTGTTTTTTATTTGTATTTGTTGAAATTTTATTTTTAGTTTTAATTAATTGATTTTTGTTTTTTGTTGTTATTATTTTTTGTTGATGTTGTTGTTTACGTTTTGTTATTTCATTATTTAATAAAGATTTTTTTGTTTTATGTTGTATATCATTTGTTTTTTTTTCTGTATCACTATCACTTTGAATAATATGTGTACGTTTTAATTTCAAAGATTTATTTATAGATTTTTCAATTGATCCAGTTGTTGTTGTTTTTAAAGTTTTTGGATCTATACGTTCAAGTGTTAATTGTGGAACTTTTGAACCAAGTGTTGGAACATGTGTTTGTTTAGTAGTTTTAATTATTTTTGTTGTAGATTTTATTGATTCATTTACATTTGGTTTTGTGGTTGTTGTTGTTGTTGTTGTTGTTGATATTGCTGAAGATTTTTTTGGAATTTTATCTAATGTTGGCTTTTTTGTATCATTTGATAATGTTTGTTTTGTTGTTTGTGGTGGTGTACGCCATGTAGATTTTTTTTCATCTGTTTGACGTTCATCAATATCATTTGTAAATATATTTGTATCTTGTTGATTAAGAGATTTTTTCTTTTCATTTGTTATTATTGTTGGTGTTGTTGGTGTTGTTGGTGGTGTACGTTTTGTTGTTGATTCAATTGATGTTGAACGATTATTTATTTGTGATGTTGAACGTATTTCATTTGATGCTAATGGTGATACATAATTAGTTGATGATTTACGTTCATTTGTTGGTGATAATGATGATGTTGGTGATGGATTTGATAATGAACGTTGTTTTAATATTGATTTTAAACCAATAGATGTTTGATGTTGAAGTACAGGTGATGATATTGTTACTGGTGAATGATGTATATTTGTTCCTGTATTTGTTGGTGTTGTTGATTCAGGTGATGGTAAAATAGGTGAATCTTTAATATTTGTTGATGTTGTATTAACAGCTAATGGTGGTGGAATTGGTTTACGTTTAACTTTAGCTGATGGACCAAGACGTTCAAGAATTTTAGCTGATGATGTACTTGGAGAATTTATTGATGAATCTGGAAATGATGATATAGATGAAATATTAGATGCTGGTGGACTTAAAAGATTTGTTGAATTCGAACGACTAGGTAATGATGATGATGATGATGATGGAGGACAATTTAATGTTGGAATTAGATTATTATTTGATGATGGTGTATTATGTGTTGATGTAGGATTTAGATTAAGTGATGGTGATATGAGTGAAGCTGGCACCGGTGGTGGTGGAGGATGAAGTGTAGTAGCAAATGACCTAAAGCAAAACAAAAAAACAATAATTTTTTTTTTTTTTTGAGATTAATTATTTCAAATGAAATTTTACATTGAATTATATTTTGTTGCAAATGGTGTTTGAGCAATAGCAGCATGAAATGTTGTTAATATTGAATTTGATGATGGATCTGGTAAACGTTGTAAACTTGTAAATGGTGGTGGAGGTGGAGGTGGTGGCGGTGGTGGTGTTAATACTGATATATTTGTTGGTGATGGTGATGTAGCAGAAATAGTTCGATGATTTAAATTTAATGTTGGTATAGATGTAATTGGATAATGAAATGGTGATGTTGTTGATATAGTTGGTGTTGTTTTTGATGGTGATATTGTTTGTGTTGGTTGTGCATTTAATGCAGCAGCACGTGCTGCTTGTATACATTGTGCAAGTGTTGTTGATGGTGTTGATGCTGAAAGTGTTGATACAAGTTCATTAACACTTTTAGCTGTTGCATTTGTATTTGTTATTGTTGATGATGGTGTTATTGTTGTTGTTGTTGGTGTTGTTGTTGTTGTTATTACTGGTTTTAAATTTTGTTGTTCAATAAGTATAGCTGGTGATAATGATGAACTTGATGACGAAGATGATGATGATGTTGTTGTTGATTTTTGTTGTTGTCCATGATTCATTTCATACATTTGTTTATCTAATAATCTAATACGTTCATCAAGTGGTATACGTGTTGTTGATAAATCTTCATCATTATTATTATTAATATTAAGAAGATTTGTATCCATAGATAGATCATATTTTGTTGTTATTGTTGATGTTAATGTATTTGTTGGTATTGATGATGATGATGATGATGGATTATTTAAACCAAGTGATGAATGTTTTAAATGTGCTTTTGGATTAAGTACAACAAGAACATTTGATGATGTTGTTGAAGTTTTAACTTGTTCAAATGCAAATTGTGGAAATGGTAAACGTATTGATTCAATATGATCATTAAATAATGATGGATAACTTCTTAAACGTACATCTAATTGATCATATGATGATATTGTTTCAAGTGGAATTGTTTTTGTATGATTTGTTGATAAATGATATTTTGTTTTATGTAAACGACGATGATTTGTATGATTATCATACTCATCTTTTATTATTGTTGTTGTTGTTGTTGGTGGTGGTGGTGTTGTTAATGTTTGTGTTGGTGATAAATGAATATCATTTGTTATTATATTATCAATTTGTTCATCACGTTTATTACCTGTACGTATTGGTTGTAAACGATATGCTGATGTTAATAAAGATTTTTCATTTTTAGAATTTTTTATTAATGTTGATGATGATGATTTCATATTTGTTGTTAATGTTAAATTATTTGTTTCAATAGGTGGTGATGTTTTTGATGTTTGTTCATCACTAACATTTTCAAGACTATCATCATCTGGTTTTGGTTTTAATGTATGTTCATCATCATCATTTTGATCTAAGCCCATTGAACTATTACTATCATGTAAATGATTTTGCATAAGCCAATCAAAAACACGTTCAGTATTTTTTAATGGTGCTTTTGGTGATGATGATGAATGAATTGTTGTTGTTGTTTGTTGTTTTGGTAATTGTGATGATGATAATGGTGGTGGTGGTGGTTGTGGTGGTGTTGTTGAATCTTTTTTTATTGTTTCAAATTGATCTTCAAGTGTTAAACTTGGAAGAATAACTGGATTTGGTTGTTGTTGAGATGTTGGAATGATTATTGATGAATCATTATCTTTTTCTGATTTAATTGATCTTGAACGATTTGATGATGATTTAATTGTATGTTCTTTATTTGATGAAGATTTTTTTCCTGATGAAATTTTTATATTATTATTATTTATTGAAGATTTTGATGGTTTTTTTGATGATTTATGTGTATGTTTATTTGTATGATGTTTTTGATGTGAATTTGAATGATGTTCAAGACTATTTGTACTTGTTGAACTATGACTTGATGTTGATGATGATCTTGAAGATGAAGATGATGTTGATGATGCATGATGACGAATATGACTACTACGATGAGGATTTCGACCGGATGAGAGATTATTTGAAACTAATACAAAAAGGAAATTTGAATTTTTCTCTCTTCAAAAATTAATGTAAAAAAAAAAGAATATTAATTAACATACGACTATCTTTTGATGAAGTTGATAAACGATGTCGTCGAGCATTTAATGATGAACCACAAATTGTTCCATTATCAACTATTTAGAAAACAAAAAAAATTTGATAAATTTATTTTCAATAACAAAAAATCTACCTGATGGAATGGATATTAATGTACTATTTGTTCCTTTACCATATTCTTTTGAATGTCGACTAAATATGAAAATAAATAAATAATGAATTATTTATATGTATAAAAAAAAAAAAACTTTAATTACCGATCAGATGAATGTCTTGAATCACCTTTATGTTGCGATCGATTACTATTATTATATGCATTGGACCATCGATCACTACTATTTGTTCGCGTAGATGCTGTATCAAATGTTTGAATTGTTTCAGGAACAATTTCACGTGTTGTACCGTTACGTTTTGATCTAAAAAGAAAATTATTTTCAATTGAAATTTATCATAACAACAAAAACATATATATATATATATATATTCTTTACATACACAACTCGAGATTCTGCATGATAAGTTGCATCAGGTGGATAACCACCATAACTAAAAAAAGAAAAAGCAAAAATCGAATGTTGAAACTTGAAAATAAAACAATATTCGCATTACTTTTTTTTATGACTAGTTTCTTCAATAATATCCGAAAATCTTGTAACAAATACTTTACTAGCAAAATCTATTTGTATTCTTTTTGAATCAAGTCTTTTTCCACGTATTGAATTAATAGCTTCTTGTGCAACACGAGTTTCAGTAAAATAAATTAAACATTGTGCTGTTTGACTTTTATGACTGTTACGATTATCAATAAATATATCAACAACATCACAAGTCAATAAATTTGTATTACGACTTATAAAAGTACGTATTGAAGATTCTGTTACATTTAATGGTAAATCATCAAGCCAAAGTACATTTGTTGGTTGACTTTTACCAAATCCCAACTTAATAAAAAAGAAAAAAAAAGAAAATTATTGACTAATAAAAAAAATTTTATTTTTGGACTTTCTTTTTTCTTTTAATTGTCAATAATCTATGTTTAATTAACCAAAAATAGAATAATTATTAATGATAAAATTCTCAAGATTTTGTTTTAAATTTTTAAAAATTTTATATTACAATAAATACGAAGAATTTTTCGTTATTAAATTTAATAATCAATTTTTTCTTATGAAGGAATTACTCTAACTGACATCCGTCGTTTGAGCTCATATTAGACTTACAAGTAGATCTCAGTAAGAATAATAAAAGTCTAAAAGGATTCATTTCGATAGGCCTTTACCGCCGAGTTATGACCGAGATTTTTTTTTACTCTCCAGAAGACTGAATAACAGAGTTTTGCTCGAAAATTTTAAATCTAATATCTCTTAGAATATTCTGAAGATTTCAGCCGAACAAAAAATGTTTCATTGTTGAGTTATTGAATTTTTGTGATAAAGAATTATTTTTAGAAATTCAATATTTTGATTTTTTTTTTGACTGAAATATTCAAAATACTTTAAAAACATTAGATCTATCCTATATGCAAAATTCTATCAATTGACTTTGTTGAAAATCATTTACACATGAATTCCAAGTCTAACTAAACCAATCATAGTTCAATGACAAAGGTTCATGAGGATGAACCCTTTTTGACTTTTGTTAGTTTCACTCAGACCTATCTTTGAATCTCAAATAGTGGGTATTATAATTCAAATAATCCTCTTATTAGATTATTATACATCGACGTAATATTCGATATAAACTTTTTTTAATAAAATCTATTCAACACAAAAAAAAAAAACTCCAAAAATATAAAAATTTTATTTATGATTGAAGATTTTTCGATTATCCTAAAAGATAAAAAAAAACTGATATATTTATATATATATATACTTTAATTGAATGATCTCGTGAAAGCTTTGAATCAAAAGCTTTCATTGCTTTAACAACACTTTTAATATCAGCATATTGTACAAATGCAAATGGTAATTGATGTGGAGATTGTGTTTGACGTTTTATTTCAAGTTCCTTTTTTTGTTTGATAAAAAATAAAATCATTTTCATTTTCGAAAAAAAAAATCTATATTTATATACATACAATAATATCACCATATGCTGAATATGTTTCACGTAATTCATTATAAGATATTTCTGATTGAAGATTTCCTATATATAAAGTACGTGTTGCTTTTATAGAATATTCATCAATATCAGGATCTGAACATATTGTACGTTTCATTATATCACATTCATCATTTTCTAAAGTAAAAAAAAATTTTTTTTTTTCTATGAATCGAACTTTTTCTTCTTTTTTTTTCAATTTTTACCATTTATAATTCCATCGTATGGTTCAGCTTTTAATCTAACACCATATAAAGTTTTTGCTATTGCAAATGTTAATGCTTTATCAACATCATCAGATTTTTTAAATGTTAATAAAGCATAACGTGATTCATGTTCACCATCAATTTTAACTGTTAATAAACGACCTGATTTTTTAAAATCAACAAATAAATTCCATAGTGATTCGCGTAATGATTCTTCTACAAAATACACACATTCACACACTTTCAAATTTATTTTGTATCAAAAAACATACTAGAAGTTTTTGATGGTAAATGATAAATTTTTAATATTTTTGTTTTACCCATTCCATCATTTAATGATGAATGAGTTTTAGTTGGATTACGACGACGATTTTTACATGAAATACTTAAATAAAAAGATTTAAATTATTTAAAAAAAACAAAAAACTTGAAAATAATATACCTATCATCACTCGATCTTTCGGATTCTGATGATGATGATGAAGATGATGATGATGGTGATGAATTTTCATGTTTTCGACGTGGTGGTTTTTGTATTGTTGAATGTGAACTATTTGTTGTTCTAATAAAATATTAACAAATGAATAAATTTATCTTTGTTTTTTTTCTTTTGTAATCAAAACGTACTTTGAATTTTTTGTCGACGATGTTTTTCTCTTACTTCCTGATGAATCAGAATCACGTTTAACAGGTACAACTTGATGTCTAATAGAATAATAAATAAAAATCATAATTCAATACTTTTCATATATAGTTGTTCTCTTTGAAAAGAAAAAAAAATGTCAAAAACACATATTTCCTCTTCTTTTTTTTTTTTTTTTTGTTTTGTTTTGTTGTGTTATTGTTTTTTTTTCTATTTATTGTTGTATTAAGTAAAAACAAAAAGAAAAAATGCTGCATCGTTTTTGTATTAACCTTATCGCGCTACAAATATCAATTACTTTTATTCAATATTCTCTTTCAAATACACAAGTAAGTTGACTCATATACATGCATGGATGTATGCATACATAAAACTCAAGTTCAAGGATAATATGATGACTGTTGCGCCGATTACAATGCTGTAGAGAACAAAAGAAAAAAAAAATTGTTGAAGGACATTAAATTAACATCATAGAAATATATATATATATATAAATGATCTAGGGTTATATACGAATGGTTAAATATTTCAAAGAGAAAACATATTGAGTCTATTTTTAATTCTTCTTTAGATAATGATCCTTTCAAAAAAAAGAAAAAAAAAAAGAAAAATCTGTTACAACATCAATATATCTCAGAAAAAGCAAAAGAAAATAAAATGTAAAAAAAAACAAAAAACGGAAATTTTCTTACCGAACATTTTCATCAGGACTATCAAGTGTACGTGATATACGTTTATCTCGATCACCATTTATCGTTTTAGACGATAATGAATTTGTCACTGTTGTTATATTTGATGTATTTGAAGACGAAGATGATGATGATGATGGTTCAACAATTGTCGAAGAAATCAATGGTGATGGTTGTTCAGATAATATTATATTTGAAGTTGACAATGGTTGAATTAATTGTGGACAAGGTTCTAATAATGCTTTTGGTACAGAATTAGAACCATCATGAAATGCTGTTCGTAAACGTTTTTCATCGAGAATATTTTCAGCATTATGTGCTTTTGATGCTGTACGTACATCCAAAAAAGCAACAAATGCAAAACGTTGATCATCAATTCTAACTGATTGAACACGGCCATGTCTAGACATAAATAATAATAATAATAATAATAAGAAAAATTTATTAATTTCCTTAAAAATAAAAAAATTCTATTGGAAAACTTTTTTTTTTGTACCGTTTAAAACATTCTTTGATTGTATCTTCAGTAGCCGTTTCAGGTAAATTAGCTATAGCCAACCATCTTGATTCTGTTGGTTTTGTGGATAATGATACTTTGTTAGTCGTGGTTTCACTGGGCATGGCAAAAATTCATTCGATATACAATAATGAAAATATGTACAAGTTGAAAAATGTTAATCATATACAGACACACACACAATAATTTGTCAAACAAGGAAACAAAAAAAAAAATATTTCGAAATTTTTAAGGTCAGAACAATGGTGGCGATATTCGTCGCCGTTGACGTGGGATGATGATGAACATTGTTGTTGTTGCCAGCATCTACATTGAAAAGAAGAACGAACGGGCGAGAGAGAGAGAGAAAAAGAAGAAGAAGAAGAAGAAGAAGAAAAAGAAAAAAAAAGAAAAACCGAGCCACCTTACATTACATTTCTTTTCTCTATAGCATTCTTTCCCCTCTTTCTCTTGCTTTTTCTTCTCCATCCATTTTACACTACAGAGAGTGCAACAGTGCGCGCGCGCGCTCGCGCTTCAAACTATCGTCGTCGACGGCTATAGCGGTCGGAGCGACGATCGTATGTTGTATTGTCGGGCAATGATGATGATGATGATGATGATGGTAGTAGTGGGAGAGCAAACGTATGCGCACAGCTTTACATATACTTAAAATAATAATGGCACATCAACATGGTACAGATTCTAATCAACATTAGTATTTTCTTTTTATTTCATTTGCAAATTTTCCTATCAGTTTCTTTTTCTTTTTCTTTTACTTTCTTTGACACAGACATAGAACCATCGTATATATATATATATATATATATATGCTCAAGTATTTATTTTGTTGTTTTTATTTTGCTTATGAAATGAAGACTAATAATAATAATAACAACAATATCAACAATAAAGAAAAAAAGAACCATGAAAATGATAGTGGCCTCTATATTTGAGAATCTTATTAAGATAAGGGAACACAGAAGATAGAGTATGGGGGGAAAAGAGAGAGAGAGAGTGGAGAAAAAAAAGGTGAATACATAAAAAGTCCGTCCGCCAATTAGACGTGGCGTTTGCAGCGGCGTCGACAAAGAAGACGACTAGCTAACTTTTTTTTCTTTTTGTTCTTCCTATCGTCATTGTATGTATGCAGCAGCCCGAATGTTGTGTATTTCAGGGGGTATATGTTGGCCCGTCTACACACAATCGCTTATTCGCTCGCTTGCATGCACATACTACTTTTATTAATGGAGTCTCTCCCCTTTTTCTCTCTCTCTGTCTCTCTCTCTTATTGCGCAGCACATTTGTTCCTTTTTATTTTAAAGCATTTGGCGGCGTCGTTGTCGTCGTCGAAGCTTCTCGAATGCAAGATTAGATTACAAGCATGTATATATGGGGAAGTAAGCAAACAAACGGCAAGAGACGAGAAGAAAAAAAAGAAAATCTTATTTTTTTTTCTTACTCTCCCTCTCTCTCTCTCTCTCTTTTTCTCATTTTCTTCAACTACACCATACAAAGCGGGCATATATCGGTTGTTTCTCACTCGCTCGCATATATTCAAGCATCGACGACGACGACCATCGAGCTTTAATGTCTTTCCTTTTGTCTCTCTTCTTTCTTTCTTGTTCGTTTGGTCGTCATCGAGTAATATGAGGTTCATATACTATCATCGTTCATGTAGTTGATGCTGTTACTACTACTCAACAAACAACGTCATATATCTTTCTATATATATATATAATAATATACGCTTGCATACATTATTCTCGCATTTCGATTTTCCCATCGTTTCAAATCGTCGATATATATGTATATATATATATATATATATATATATATAAATTGGGCTTGTGTTGTTTTGTAGTCGTCGTGTTTTTTTTGTTTATAATAACGTCATTTCGTCCGTCGCAACTACTTCTAATACTACTTATGTCGTCTTTCCATTCCTAGTTTTTAGGCATTAATTGTTTCCTCATTGGATTTATGCGTATCTGTCGATGCTATTAAATTAGTGGGAAAATAATATTTTGTTTTAGGAGTTTTAAACAACGACGATATTTTTGTTTTGATGATTTCATCTTTTTTTGTTTATGTTGAATTTTAGCATTTTTTTCCGCTTTCGGCATTTGTTTCATATGCAATTATTGGTTTGGAAACAAAAGAAATTCCTGTTTTATGTGTATAAATATATATATATTTATAGATATATACAAAGATAGCATTAAAAGCATATAAAGGAAAAGCAATGAATCGAGAGACAAAAAAAAAAAAACCGAGAAAAAAAAAACAATGAAGAAAGAATGCATATGGCTTCCATTTTTGTGCTAAAGAATAAAAAATTTCTATAGATTGTGTAGGTGGAAAGGGAATCTGCTTGATGCCGAAATAATGGAAAAAAAAAAGAGGAACTAAGTGCAAAGAAGAGAAAGACTGATTATATATAGTTTTTTCTTTTTCTGCTTTCTTTTTTCATTGGCTGTAGGGCAAGGGTATAGAATATATAATAGAACCTTTTGGCATAGTGCCATCAATGTTGATGATGTCTTTTACGACGCTATTTTTTTCTTACCCCACGCATCAACCTGTGTCCTTGCAAATGTCTAGGCAATCATTTATGCTATTTTTTTTTGCTCTTACTTGCCCTTATTTTATTTGGAGAAGAATCGGGAAAAAAAAAACTATGGGTGCTCAAAAGCAATTAGAAATGTTTATGAAAAAATTCTTTTGATAATAATAATAAAAAATAAAATACGATAAAACAAGAGAGTGAGAGAGAAAAAAAAAAAGAAAGCAAACCTTCAGAAACAATTAAGCTGATTATAATAAAAATAGACATTTTTTTACATTGATAAATATATTTCTTTTATATTTCGTGCTTATTTTGCAATAACATTAATATCACATTTTTCTTTTATGCGTATATACAAATAAAAATAGCATAGACAAAAAAGCGATACGAAAAAAAAAAAAAATTAAAATGAAATTCGTATACAAGAAACAAAAACAAAGAAAAAAAAAACGTAATAAATATAAAGAGATTTAAAATTTTCGCTGTAAATTGTTTATATCACCAAATATTTAAATAAGAACTCCAAGAAGATGAATTAACATCATTAGTCATATGTCGATTCAATGATTCATTATTTGTTGAATTTTCATCGATTGTTATTATTGTTGATAAATTTGCAACACGAACAAGTTGTGCTTGTTCATCTGGACTTAATTTAAGCATTGTAACAAGTACAGGTATTAATTGTAAACGTTCATGTGTAGATTTTAAAATAAAAAATTTTAAAATAATATTTTTTAAATATTCTAAATTTGATATTGATTCAGCACGATCCATATTACGTTCAAGACGTCGTATTTCATCTTTAAGTAATTTAATTTGTTCATTTAAACGTATATTATTTAATTCAGATTCTTGTAAAAGTTCTTTTGTATCAAATAAAATTAATTTTGTTTTATTTAATTCATCTTCTGAATGTTGTCGTTCTAATTGAATATATTCATATATATTATCACGTGATTTATCATTTAATGACGATTGAGTATTAGTAGTAGTATTATTTTCAATAGTACTACTACTATTAATATCATGTAGAACATTATCAGATATTTTCATAGTAATATTTGACGATTGATGATCAATATTAGTCGATTCAGGCTTCTGAAATAATTAAAAATTATATTGACAAATGTTTCAAATAGAATTATAATTACAACACACAAAAAACAAAATGAGATGATCTATTCATCTCTAGAGAATTTTTTATATTTTCAATGTAACATAAACCAATGATCGATAATGACCTAGATATAAAATACTGTTCGATCATTATATGAAGTATGGGAAAGTTTCTTTTTTTTTTCGTTTTCTAATTCATTTGACAGAAAAATATCATTAGAATGGTGATGTTTGATTAAAGTTATGAAATATTCAAGATATAAAAAGTGAATTATTAATAGAAATTAACAAGGGATAAAATGGTAGAAAATGTTTACTTCTCCTTGTTGACGTTCATCAGTACTGCATGCAAGGGTATCATCTCTATTACAATGATTATTTATACCGATATGTGATGATTCAGGATTTGATGTTGAATTTTCCTTATTATCAATATTTGTTTGTTGTAATAATTCAATATGAATTTTTAATTGTTGAATTTCTTGTCGAGAAATTTCTAAATCATTTTGTGATATTGATATTGTATGTTTATGATCAGATTCCATAGTAGAAATTTGTTCCTA